AGAGCCGGCCAAATGAATCCCTCCAGGGACCCCCAGGCTCCTGCTCTAAATGTACCCCCAAAGCCCCACTTCTCCCTGCACCTCCACCCTGCCTCTCTAGGGTCTGTCTTTCTCTCTTGGCGCTGCCCCGCTACGGAGTGGGTGGGGGGGCTGTCTATGCCTGAACTTTGGTTCTTAGAAATTCGGGGGGCGGAGGGGCAAAGCAGGGGGAGGGTGACTAGAGGAATTCTGCCAGGTTGAAAGGCGTCCCTGGAAAATGAGCAAAACTGAGCGGCGGCGATGGGGGAAGGCAGCAGTTTGCGAAGCGGGGAAGCGGGCAGGGCCGGGGTGAGGGAAATGAGCTAGAATTGATAAGGACAGCTCCCGCCTCTGCCTCCGCCGAGTCCGCCGAGCTGGTCCTCACCGCGCTCCGCTGCACTTTCCCGGGAGAAGAAAGGGCTTTATCTCCTCCCTCAGACTATTAGCCCAGGAGTTTCGCGGGGCAGCTCGGATAATCGAAGGGTTTCCCAGCTTTGGGAGGGCTAAGAAGCGCCCACCCTCACGCCTGTCGGCCCCCTGTCCAATAACCTCCCCCCACCCAAAAAAAAAAAACAAACTGGGCCAACTGCGAAAAGCAAAGCTACGGAAACACGTTGACCTGGAACGTCCACCTTCGGTCAGCTCGGCACTCTTGGGGCACCCCAGGATCCCCGCTCCCGTCCTTTCCCTTCTTCGGCCCGGCATGGACACAAGCCCACGAGGTGTCTTGGCTTCAGCCGCCACTTTGACATCGCTGCTGCCACTATCGCTGTAGCCACCAAGAGCCAAGCCTGGGTGGCTTTAGGAAAGTGAGGGACGGAGTGTGGGGGGGCGGGTGAAGAGAGGAGTTGCAGGGAGCAGAGCAGGCGTCCGGACCCCAAATCGGGCCCTTCTGGTGGCGCTCAAGGATCCCGCGCCTGCAGCCCTTCCTCCTAGGGTCGGATCTGGAGGGGCGCGAGGCTAGAGCCCAGCTGAGCACTGACTGTTGGTCTTCGCCCTCTCCTCCCCTCC